CCCTAAACCCCCCAAGCCACCAAGCAAACCCTAAACCCCAAGCCACCATACCCTAAACCCTAAAGTACCATGCAAACCCTAAACCCTAAACCACCATGCAAACCTTAAACCACAACCACCATGCAAACCCTAAACTCTAAACCAAACCTTAAACCTTAAACCACAAAACCAAACCACCATGCAAATCCTAAACTCCAAACCACCATGCAAACCTTAAACCCTAAACCTAACCCTAAACCCTAAACCTAACTCTAATACCTAAACCAAACCTTAAACCAAACCTTAAACCCCAACCAAACCCTAAACCAAAGCCCAAATCCTAAACTAAACGCTAATCTCTAAACCATACCCTAAATCAACCTCAAACCCTAAACTTGAATCAAACTAAACTCAAAACCTAACCCGAACGAACCCCAAGCGCAAACCCAATCCAAAACCCTAAAACCAATCCTTGATCTCTTTTATACATTTGCATCTCATTTTACTTTATTGTTACATGCATTCTTGAATTGTCATGCATTTACATCTTGTCCTTCATGGTTACTTATCATACATATATTATATATTATTGTTTCCATTCATACCATTCACATGTTTTTAGACATATAGTTTTTCAAGAAAATGTTTCAAAATAAATAAAATAAGATAATACTCCAAGTAAAAATAACCTTTAAAATCTACCTTAAATATAAGATAGACTTTCAATAGTTATCATTTATATGAAGTATTATCTTTGTTTTATGGGACAATTTGAAAACTCTTAAAGTTAAAAGCATTTTTTAAGCTCTACCTAAATATATGGGAGTGAAGGAAGTGCTTCAATACTTAGGATTTTCCATTTTAATCTAAAATAATTAATCCTTTTGTTTTCAAAAATAAAAATGATTTGATTTCAAGAATGTAAATTTTAAAAGACCTTTTTTGGAATAAATAATGGATGTAAGGAATTAACCTATAAACATTAAAATAGGACCATTTTTACAAAAATTCAAGGGTAAAATGCAATCAATTAGTATCGTTTTTAACAAGCATTGTGAGGGCACTAATTCTTCCCTATACATAACCAACTATTTTATCTAACTTTAGTTTTCACAAACTGTAAATATTCTTTTAATAAACTTTAAACTTGTTTTAAATGTTTTATTAAAAGGATAAAATTTTTGTTGGCCAATCACACCTTAAAAAAGATTAGTGGTGACTCTTCAATTTTGATATTTCTTGAAAATGCTTTCCCTACATTCGGTGGTCGGTTCTCAGACCTGCACGTTGTGACACACATCTTATATTGACATGCCTTATTATTAAATCTTAAGACTTTGTATTTTTTTAAGTACGACTTTAGTGTCATTTGAGAATGCCTTATAAATGATACCAACAAGCAACCTCAAGGATAAAAAAGAGACATACATGCACATTTGGATTCCATGGAGATTTTTCTATAAGTTTAAAGAAATCAATAGGACTGACAATGAAAATAATACATGAAAATCACATTTATGTGTTATTTTCTTACCATATAGCCACATTGAGATTCATTATCAATAAAGTCTCTGATACTTGTAACCATGGATTAGTCTTATGTCAATAAGGGACACAATGGCTGCCATGATTTGGTTTTAGATGGTTTTATTAGATAAAATCATTAAGATATTGTTTCAAAGGCTAAATTGTTTTCTAAAACTATGGTCACATCAAAGTAAAGTTAAATCAGCCTTGAGTCTTTTTTTCTAAATTATGTTTTCTTAAAATCAAACAATCTAATTAATATTGCCTAAGTAGGAGAATGTTAGATTTTTTTGTAAGTAGGCTACTATTAATTGGTGATTTTCATAATTTAATAAAACTAGTTGATGAGTTTAGTCCTAATATGAGACAAACATGAGAGTTCAAATAATTAATTGTGATCACTTATGTGTGAGTTTTGCATATCTTATTAGATCAGCATTGTTTAACGATTGTGTAGACCTTTGACTCGATAAATCTTTGATGAGAAGGTTTCTATGTTTTTACTAAAATTTGACTAAAGTCCCTTCTTCTTTAAAGTAACAATATCTATTCATTAAGAGCCACCTGTAAAAGACAACGAAAAGGAAGATTTAAACTCTTCAATAATTGATGTTGTTTTCGCTTATCATCAATGACTCACCAAATGGATATGCTTTATGATTAAATTTGGTGTTCTAATATTCATATATAGTTCTTAGGATTTAAGATTATGTTTACACTTTCTATTTCTTTCACGTTTCATTTTTTTTTTTATTGTCATTATTCTTTTCAATTTCAATAATGTCGACAAACAATTTTGCTATAGTTTTATTATTTTCATCATGAATTTAAATTTATTTTTTAGGGTGTTATGAATCGTTTATCATGATATTTTATTTTTTTAATTGTTAATAACAGTTTGTTATTTTTAAGTTCAATATTAAGTATTTGATACTTTTAATTATTTTGGCCAATTAATTAGTTGAATTAAGACACTTAGGCGAATTGAAAAAGAGGTTTAAAGTATTGCCTTTGACTAAAATATCATAAATTGTTTGAAATGTGAATATACTTGAAAATTTTGTGCAGTCAGTATTAAAGAAACATTGTTCATAATGAGTATTTATCTTATTTAATTTGCATATGAATATAACAAAATGATAAGTAAAGATAAAATTGTTAGATCATTGGAAAAGACTAATAATTTAATTGAGGGCTTTCTTGCCTGTCACTTGAATAACAAATTAGTTTAATAATTAGAAAGAAGCAAAGTGAATTGAAAAGTTGAAATTGGTTCATGCTAGCACATTTGTCGTTGATTATTTTCTATACAATTTAAACGTGTTTTAATTTGTAATTTTTTATTTACTGCGTTTAAAATTTCTTTAGATAAAATTAGAGTTCAAATAATTTTATTAGTTAGTGGATATTTGATTATTAATCTTTAGGAGAACAATATTTTATTTACTTTTTATTGCTTGACTTTGTGATATTGTATACTTGCAATTAGAGTGATAATTTTCAAAACTCCAATCAGAAACCAAATTCCATCCAATTGATGCCTAAACATAGTCTAGGCTCTTCCGACTTTTCTTTGGAGCTCCGCAACTAGGAAAAAAGTAAGAAACTCTACCTGAATCAATCCAGTTAACATGCTAGAAGCTTAAGTAGCTGTTTTGAGCGTAGATTCCAAGCAAGTTTACTTCGGAAACATTCAGTCTTTCTCTTTTGCATAATAAGTACATGATACAATTTGTCTATGAAATTAAACTTGAAAATTCATGTATTTATATTGTGTAAAATATTGATAATTTATGTATTCATGTAATATTTTATATAAAAATTATATATCATAATTCATATCGATATAAATATTAAATATATTTTTTTGTTTTACTAAATCTATTTATAATTTTTATTAAAATTTTAAATTATATTTTCTTCATGTATTTTATTTATATCATTTTTGTGTCATATTATAATATCATATTTTAAATTATTAGATTAATACGAAACCATTTATCATGGAGATAATAGCTACACATGATGACTTGCTTAGAGTTAATATTATAACATGACATATAGATTTAATTTTTAGGATTGCATAATGCATATCATATAAAATTTTATGGTTTTTTTGGGCAATTATAAAATTTTATGCTAGGATCACATATTTTATTATGCAATATTGTGATTAATAGGTTGTTTGATTGCTATAATTATTGTCATTAAGGTATGCCATTGAAGCTAATATTCCTGAGTATGGTTTAAGCACGTTTTGTTAAATATGTCATGGAGACATTTAGTATATTTAAATATTTTTTAACATCATTAATTAATAAATATATATTATATTTATAATTAAATGATGTTAATAATAATATTATTGAATCTTTTATTTTTTTATTTTTTTTTCTTGGTTCTCAATTGCAGAAGTGAACCCAACCTCTTACAATTTCATCAACAAGTGTCGCCAAACAATCTTATCTCGACTTTTAATCCGACACCAACACGGCTCAATTCACCACCACTGGTTTTATTCTTAACTTTTGCGGCCTTGACTCCTGCGGTACACTTGTTTGCCTAACCGACGACTACAATTAAGCATGTAGATGAAAAACTGATTTAAATTGTTAAGTAGATAGATGGGAGAGTCCAAAAGTTTAATTTTAAAGTAAAGAACAAAATCCAAAAATGAAGAACTAACTGAGATTATTCTCACGGTTATTTCGTATAGTGCTTGTAATTCTTGTTTTAAAGAGAATTAAACTTGTGAGAAAAACTCAGAAAACATTGTTTTTTTTTTTTTTAAGTTAATTTATGCCGTCTTATTTTTTGTACAATAGATATATTCAAAAAATAAAAATTGGACAATATGACATGGCACTGATCTGCATAAGATATTTAATTAAAAGAAATACGTTAAAAACTACCTGTATTAAAGAATAAAGATTTAAATCACTCCCAAGTGAGAAAAAACTAGACGAAACTTGTAACCTGACCGTCTATATTGATTCTCGGTTTAGACCAAAATGATAATTCCTAAATTGCCTTAATTGGTATACCTTGAGTTTGGTAAAATCCTAAACTCGCAATAAAGTCTAATGAAATTATTTTTGTGCTGCTCATAACATTAAACAATATTTTAATACTGCATTAATACTTTCCTATACTATACTATTTAAGAGCTAAACAAAAAATTAGCCCAAAAAGAATATATAGCAGAACATGGCGTAGCCCCACTCTTTCTCTTAAGTCTATGGCGAGGCCAATGTGATGGCTCATATTGCTCTTTCTCAGTCGTCTAACACGAGGCCATTGTGATGGCTCATTAAGTAATAAGAATATAGCTTGAGTTGTTGAGCTCCCCTGGAAAGGCACCAGCGTTTGATTTAATTGTCTGGTTTTAGTGAAAATTCTCACTTTCACTCATCAAAACAAATAAAAATAATAATACAACACTCTTATAAAAGTGGTTTAATCTTGTAAAGCCAACTAAAAATATTCATAACCAATTGATTCAATAATATCAGAAATTATATTCAATTAACCAAACTCACCAAATGCACACCTATAACTTCACATATACTACTTTATTCAAACATCAAAGCATGCAACAGTTTGTTTGAGCCAGCCCTCATCTAATGAGACTACAGCTACTGACCAACGAAATTTAGTTTTGATAGTAGTCTACTCTTCACAATGATCTAACATTTAAAACACAAGTACTCGTCCAAGGGGTAGACTTGTTCACACTTTTTACTGGACGAAGTTGACCTCAATCACTTTTAAACAGACAACAAAACAGAAAGAAAGGCATGTCCTTAAAATACAGATCTCAGTCAAAAGGCCATCCAGTATAGCCCATGGAGTGATTGTTCTCTCGCACACTCGGAGAACTGCTTCGAGCAGCTTCATTTTGGCTAGAGCTAGAACTAGATGATCGGAATGGCCATAAATAGGACAATGGATTCCGTCTGCTTTGATTCTCCCTATTCTCCCTTCTGCTGGAATTAGTTCCAAAACTGCTGCTCCTACTTTGACCACCTGAGTGATAACTGCGGCTGCTACCTGATCCTTGTGGAGGCAATTCTTGACGACAAAGAGGGCATGAGTTGTGCTGCTCCAGCCAAGGGATGATGCAATCTGAATGATATATATGGTTGCATGGCATTTGTCTTGCTTCAGACCCCAGTTCAAACTTATCTTTGCAAACAGGGCATTGTGAATCAGAATGAAGATGCCTTCGAGTAATCTTAATAGTGGGCATTGCATCAATTGAGGATTGGGATGCTGGGGGAGGGCCCCTCCTATCATTAGCTGAGAGCTGTTCAAACAATTCTTCTAAGCCAGGGCCTATAAAGTAATCTCCAGCATTACCTCGTGTAATACCGATTCCAGGTGCCCCATTAAAAAGAGCTTCAAAACCACCATTCCCAGACAACCTAAGAGGAATTTGGCCACCAAAGATCAATAAAGGACCAAATGGTGGTGGATTACGCTCAGGAATTGAATCTGTTCTTCCCCTGATATTATGGTTAAAATTTCTGTCAGCCAATCGCTGTCTCATGAAGGCTGATAAAGCATCCATGAGACCGAACCTCTGACCACGATCATCATTACCATCTACTCCAAAAAAGTCCAGAGAACTGATACGCACCATATCATCTAGTTCTTGAACAAATCCCCCGCCACAATAGCAGCAAACTTCATCATGACCTTGAAGGAGAACTGGGCGCCTGCATCTATAACACCAATGAGTATTTCTTCCAGTTGACATTGTCCTCTCTCTTTGAGAAAGCCTGAAAAAGAAAAACCCTCAAATAGTCTTACAGGCTCCTCAATTTAGCTGTTTTGCCAGCATAACCAATAACAATCTGCAAAGTGGGTATGAACTTGTGATCAACATTAATGGCTTACGTTCACAACAAAGAATTAAAAGGATTATAGGGTTTTCTTTCGTTCTATTTTACCACATACGAAGATACACGCAGTTTCCACAGAAATTATGCATTACAACCATCATTTGATTCATACTACAACAGACCCAAAAAAAAAACAAAACAAAATACTGCAAAATACTTGGGGTCTGATCTGAACGCAAAAAGGAATAAAAATTACCGATTTTTCCTTTTTTTTTCTTGAACTAATAGAATTATTATCTTTACCACAAAATGAAATACAAAAAAAGTAAGTTGATTTTTATTTCGTTTTGATATCACCTTTCACTGTCAGCAGTCGGCACCGTCGCTCACGAAAGTTCTCATTTCTAAATATTACAAAAATCTAAACAGAAATGAGATTGATTGTCCAAACACACCCTGAGAAATAATGGAAATAAAATTCAACAATTAAATCCAAAACCAAAAATCTAATCAGACCTCGATCCAAAGTCAAAACAAAGTACGTAAACGCGGACAAATCTCGTTTTTTCAACAATCTTTTCTTCACGGGAAAATATACAGTAAGCAATCAACGAAACAAAAACAAATTAAAGGAAAAAAAAAAAAAAGCAATGATCCATAAACACTAACAGTTGAGTCTAAGTTTGGATGAGTCCAAAATCAGATCAAGCAATCATTTCAACCCAAACAACCAATACCCGCACAGTAACACCTTCTTTAGCTCAAATTAATCGAATGAAACGAAGCTGGAAAAACAAGGGTTTTCTTTTATCTTAAAAAAAAATCATTAATTCTGTAAGGCTTGATACAACAACTGTATAGAAATACAAAGAGCGTCCTCTAATCTGTAATCAGAGATCAGAGAACAGAGATAAGATAAAATATGTACATACCTTGAGGAGATTACAGATGACTTTTCCCAAGAGAGAGAAAATGCGAAATGGATATTTTGGAGAATTTTTTTTTTTTTTTAGTTCAAAGATAGCGTTTTTGTGAGCTGATGCTTGACCAAAACAAAGTATCAAAAGAATAATAATAATAAAATAAAAGTTCTGTGTTTATCGTTTTTACACGTAGGAACGTTAACTATCTCGGGCTTACGCTTTAAGCTTGGTGCACTGTATGGCCTGTGGGGGCTCACTCCCTCGACCTGATGAGTGCTAACATTTTGTTTTGAAAAAAAATGAATTAAAATTTTGTTTTGAAAAAAAAATCAAATATAAATATGAAACAATTCCAAATCCAAAAGCACAAAACTTAAAAAATTTTGAACATAAAATAATTTCTATTCAAAAGGTTTTAAACTTTGAAAGGATCCGATACAAAATAATTTGAATTAAAAAATCATTTAAATACATAATGATCAATTTTTTTTTTAATTGTAAAGTAAACTCACTCTTAATAAATTTTTTGTGCTTTTAAGTTGGGACTCATTATATTTTTTAATATTTTATAAAAAATACTTTTAATGAATAAATGTAAATAAAATAATATATTTTTATTGGTTTAGTGGTTAATAAGATTTAAAAAAATATAAAAGGCAAGAGTTCGAACTTCATTATCTTTATCTCCATATCCTCTCTCTAATGGGAAAAAAAAATGTAAACAACATAACATTAAGTGATAATACAATTTTGGGTAATATATTAATAAATAAAAGTTGTATGTAAAAATAACTAAAAGTTGTAGCAAATTTTTTTTATTATCTAAAACAAAAATTAATTAATTTGATAAAAAAATAATATCATTTTTGTTAATCCAAATAATAAATAAAGTAATAAAGAACAAACAAATATAACAATAAAAATTTTAGTAATATTTTTTCGTTAAATAATAAATTAATTAATTTGATAACAAATAATTGTGAAAGTAATAAGATTTAATAATGCTACTATTATTTCCAAGACTTGTTTTTTTACGAATTTGTAGTTGATGATCTTCCACTTATGACTTTGGTTGTAGTCTTTCATTCCAAACATTGTTTGGACCTAAGATAAAGTCTTTAAAGAACAAATGAAATGACTTCAAAACATGTTATAAATACCATTTTCCTTAAAGCTTAATTTATTCCTACCAATCATGATATGTAAGAAGGATATAACCAAAATGCCTTCAAGATATAATAAAATCTTGTTTGATGTTATCTTGCATTTGTGATATCAAACCAATAAACATCATTTGATGAGAGATGAAAATATCTAACTTTGAACATTAATTTTTGCAAAAAATAATGTCAAAATAACTAGCCTTTTATTTATGGATGAATAAGAGAAAAAAAAAAAGAATGATTTTTGAATTCTATATCTTCTTAAATATCTCTAATGAACACTCATAATCTCTATTTATAGAGTTTAAATCCTATGATTGTGACTCTTTGATTATATTGTTTCAATAAAAATCACTTCTTTTAATCAGAAACCTACCTCTTTGAATCATAAAAGATGAATTGGTTCATTTGAATGATCATTCATTTTATTCTAATATAAATAATATTTCGCGTTTCAAAAAATTATAATTTTTCACTAGAGTAGTCGACTGTTCATAGAAGGTGGTCGACTAACTCTTTCTATTTTTTGTTTCTAGAATGCTCCATGAAACAGGGTAGTTGACTACTACCTTAGGGCAATTGACTTCCTCCAAGTCTAGAATACTCAAAACTTGTAACAATTGATAAAGCAATCAAGTCCAACTATAGCACTCAATTTGCTAGGGTAGGTAATCGACTATTCTTTTGTTATGTTTTTATGTACCTTTTAGAATAAATATAAGTCAATTGCTCTTCAAGGCAAAGAACATGGTAGTCGAGTGCTCTTGTTAAGGCAATCGACTACTCTTATAGTATGCCAACTTTCATTGATTCTTTAAGTTTAGAATCAATCCTTTTTTTAGTATGAAAAATTACCTTAAACGATTACATGGCTTAAATATGATTTCTCTTATAATTAAGTTTGTACTTAATCAAACTATTTTCATATTTTGAAAATATTTCTAACATTCCCCACCTATTTTTGGAAATCTTATGTATAGGTGAAGATATTATACAACATGATTTCAAAATCTCCACTTTAGTGATAAAATGTTGTTACGCTAATCAAAATTGTATGGTAGATCTTAGATATTTGAATTAAAAATTTTATATGATTATTTGTGCACTAAACCACACATAAACTTTCATATCTCATCAAAAGATCATTTAGTCATGCTTTGGCACAATTTTAATGACTGTGTATCCTGTATATTTATAAATGTTTTCTAAGCCTAACTCATTGCTCCTAGAAACGACAGCACTCTCACTCACATAGATGGACTCTATTAAGAATGCAATCATATAAGCATTCCAACACTATATTTTACATTATTATAAGAAAAATATCTCTTTAGTGATGGAATTATTAGTGATTAAATTTTTTTTATCACAAGTAACCTCCTTTAGTCATGAAATCTCGATAGAAAATCAGTAGATTTAGTTTTAGGTTAATTAGAGTTTTAGCTACAAATTTTTGAGGAATTAGCGACAACATTCCATCGCCGATAGGATAATATTAGAAATGGAACCATATTCAGTCACTATATCTATAGGTAAATTTACATACCAAAGAAATAAATGTGGTACCATAATTATCTACGATTTTAGTGATGAAATTTCATAGTAAATTTAGTTAATACCAATGGAATTAGCGACATAAAATTTTTGTCACTAAAAGACAAGACATAATTTAAAAATTAATTTTTAATATTTTTATAAATTAAAAAAGAAATTTAAATTTTTTAAAAAATTAAAATCGATTTTTATAAGGCTTAAGTGACATTTTTTTAGTGTTGAAAATTCTTGTCGCTAAAACTAAAAAATTGGGTTTTAGCAATGGATTCTATCACTAAAATTTCGTCACAAAAGCATAAGTGTTTAAAATTTTCATACCCCTATCTCCCCCTTTTTCCCTTTTCATTTTCTCAATCCTCAATCTCTTTTATAGAAACCTCTTACTCTATGCCAAAATTCAACCAGTTTTGTAGCCTACCAATTGACGCCTAGTCTAGCTAATTGTCAATTAGGCCTGATCCATGCCTGAACCAACCATTTGAAACCCAGACCACCCCTAAACTAAGCAAAACAAAATTTCCCATTTTGATCGATTCACTACCATCCACCAGTAGTTCTTTAGTTCCTCCAACCTAAAAAATCTTCCCTTTACCCTTTAAGCTCAAAAATTTGTTCGTAAATCATTTTTTTTTCTAACAATTTAAGGCTATTTCTAAATTTTGTTATGTTATTATTATTTTTAGATTTTTTCTTTTTAAGTGTTATTATAATTTAAAAAATTATTTTAGGTGCTATTACTAATTTAATTTTTTTTTCTAGATTTTATTTATTTTATATTTTTAATTAATAATTTAATTCATTTTCTTCTAAACTCAAGAGCTTACTTTTGAACAATACTCTGGAAATTTCTTTTACTAATAATTTTTAATTTGTTTTAATTATTAAATAATTATGATTTATGGCTAGTAATTTGTGAATATTTGTGGAATTTCTAGAATTCAAGTATTTTGTGAAAATTGTGTTTTTGTGAAATTTATATGATTATTGTTGAAATTTGGAAAATATGAATTTTATGGAATTTGTGAATTACGAAATTATAAAATAAAGAATTTATAAAATTATTATGGAAATTGCATATTATTTGAACAATTATGGGATTGATTAAAGATTACTTTAATGATGCATGGCTGACATGGAAAGAAGTTCCTCTGGTTGTGAAGATAAGCTTAGCAAAGAAATTCTAGGTAATTTGTAACATTGGATGTTATTAATATATTTTCATTTTGGTTGGATTTAGTTGTTTCAAGATGATATTGACATTTTTTATTTTCAAGTAAGAAAATTCTTATAGTCTCAAGAATATATGTCTCGAGTGTATAAAATATGAGAAGATACATGTGAAGTATGATTTAAAGACATTCTATGTTATTTATCATTTATAGTTTATAAAGGGAATTATGTATCATTATCGGAGTTAAAGTAATGAAATTTTTTAAAAATTTTAATTTCCTAAAGCCAAGATCAATTAATAAATTTATATAAACAACATATATATACAAGCATGCATAGTTTCAGCTAAAGATGTTACCTTGAATGTTAAAAATCCCTTGGTTTAATTTGGTGATCTTTTAAATAGATTCCAAGCCAAGAAGTTGCTCAAGTGCTCAGCATCTAATGGTGATCCACAGAACTCTTGTGAAATAACCTTCTTTAAGGTTTGGTGAACTCAAAGCCACATTATAGATAGACTTTTGAAGCTTACACACCATGTTAGCATTCTTTTTTATTCAAAACCTTTAGGTTGTATCATGTACACATCCTCTTGCAAACTCTCATTAAGGAATGCCGTTTTGACTTCCATTTAACATATTTCATAATCATGATACGTAGCAATAGCAAGTAAAATCCTAATAGATTTTAACATGGCTACTGGTGAAAAAGTTTTGGTAAAATTAACTCATTGTTTTTTATTATAACCTTTTGCAACTAGCCTGATTTGTACATTTGTACATTGCCATCCATGTCAGTTTTTTTATTGAAAACCTACTTGCATTCTATGGGTTTTATCCCTTTAGGTGGTTCCACCAAAGTCCATACTTGATTTGCATATATGAATTTCATTTCGGATTTCATGGCTTCATGCCATGTCTCAAAATCAATGTCCAACATTACTTCTTGATAGGTACTAGGATCATATTCTATGATCAACTAATCTTTGTCCATGAGAAATTCATATCTCTTAGGAGCTTGGTGAGTCCCACTTAACCTATAGAGTTTTTATGTACTTTGAGATTTCATCTACACATCTAATGCCTTAACC